GATTTTGTGAAATAAGTCTTGAGAGTTGTAGACTTTGGTAGGTAATAGAGTTACCGGTAGTCATGATTACAAGCTCTTATTGAAAAAGAGGACTAACATAACCATTCATTGTTTTATTTTTCTTTAACGCATTAAACACGAGCAAGAGATAAAGATGTGTTCAACCTCAACTGAGTTAGTGTGATTCGTCACAACTCCCAGGGAAATTTACCCCCTCAAACAAAGCAATTGCAAAATTATTTTAACACCCGTTTATAAATGCTGATTCCATGCTGTAGCCGTATTGGATTTCAAGACTGGAAAATACCGTAGTAAAAATATATGAAATAGAACATGTTATATTATTACACAAGACAAACATACCTTTGTGGCAAATCGCAATGATGATAACGTTTCAGAAAGGCTCTCTTCTCTTGGAGAAATATTCACAAACATCAACCTATAGAAGAAAGAATGTTCACATGTTTAGATACAGTACACCTTTCCAACTCATGCCCTTCAAGTAATGGAAGAAATGTCACGGTAAAACTCTTACTCTAAGGGTACAAAGCTTGTGTGTTGTCAAGTAATTTTAGAAGAGATTCTGAAACACATTTGTGATTTAAGGCTCAGATAATTAAACATTTATCATCCATTTTCATACACCACAACTCTTCCTCATTAAAAACATCAATAGATGTAGTAGTGATGACGACCTGTAAACAATGTTCGCCTTCATCACAAGATTAACTCTTTGATATGTATACACTGTTTACACCAAATCGCTTCAAAGCTAACAACATCTGAATACACCCAAACTAAACCACTTTATATAAACATCATCTGCATATAATTAGAGTAGTGCAATGTAAGCATATTTCACATCAATTCATCAGTGTATAGTTAGACTAAAACGCCAGCAGTCTTAACATCATCGCCCTCAGTGGCGCTGGTTTGTCAACGACTAAAGAATGAAATGATGAACATTTTGCACCCCTCTAGGGGTTGTCAGTCTAATTAAGAAAAAACCTTGCTCTCTAAATTTGGAAATTTTCATTTCTGAAACAATGTCCCCCCCACCTACCCAAATAACGGCCAAATTTTCATGGGTGGTCACAACCCTGCAAGTTTGACAGTACTTTGACAAGTATCGCATTTACCAATTAGTAACTTGTACACTTATTAATAAAATTACCAAATACTGTAAAATGATTTATTTTAGCTGGAATTAATTTCCGCTGAAAAGTTTTTTTGGGTGTTTTATATATAGAATTTAATTTCACTGATTTTTAATGAGTTGAATGGGAAGTATTGGAAAAAATTCGCCATATTTTATTTTCACTGAATCATCCTTTCAGCGAAAATAGCGAAAACAAATTCCAAGTGAAATTAATGTAACATTGCAACTTACGTTTTGGAATTCCCTCCGAGCGAGTTCTGCAAAAGATGTGTAAGCTTGCTATTCCGGTACGGGATGTGAGGTTCCTTATTGGCCAATGCCATGATGACATTACCAAGTTCGGCAAGACTCCTGTTGATATTCTGAGTCTCCTTCAATCTTTCCCCTTTCGAGCCGCTCTGCGAAAGCCGTTCACTCCCGGCCAAATCAACCAGATTCAAGGTACCTACAACAACAAAGGTGCTTTGGGTTAAGGGTAGTTGCATTTATGCTTTGCTTTAATACTAATATTCAATAAATTTTAACTTGATGAATTCAATTAGTGAAAACAATAAAAATTCTACATGATAAATTTAATTATGAATAGAAAAGTTTTGTTTCTGAAATCATCCATTGACAGTCAAATAATCCTACAAAAAAGACCTTGGCTGATGAAGCTTCTAAACGATATTTTGTACACAATTTCATTACTGCAGAAGAGCATCTCAGATAAAAGCACATAAACAGTTTGTTGTGTACTGATTCACTAAAATATCTTCTTATTTTTATGCAAATTCTGCACTACTACCGGTAATACACAGTCAGCTGGCATACAGGTGATAATCAAATAAATGCAATAGACCATTTTCCGTTCACTGCGAGATCACGCGTTATGCATGAAATCGAACGTAAAAACAGGACAAACGAAGGTCATAGTGTCGTAGTCGCGTCAAACATCGCGTGGGATTCGACAAACGAGAAAGTATTTCAGGGACATTTCCATGCTTAATAATGTGCTGTCCACATTTGATGATAGGCAATTTCGATTAAGTAAGGGTATTCGGAAGCAATATTCCTCTGTCGAAGATCGGCCGGTCAATGTAAGCTACGAAATAAAGAAATTCTAGTTCAAAATCAAATCGTTCGATTTTTGCGGCAGACGTTCGACGCGCGTCTTTCATGCATCTCGCGAGATCTCGCAATTGTACGGAAAATCACCTATTAATCTACTGATATTTACTATATGGGGGCAGTCATCTTAAATATGGCTTGAAACTAAAGAAAGGGACAAGTTGAGAAACTGGTTTTTGAGTTCCCTATAAACCAGAGGAATGATAGCAAACTTTCATAGGCATCCGTTTGGAAAACATCTGTTTGGACAACATAAGATAACATAACATAACTGCTAATATAATTTGGTCTAAAGAAATTCCATGCAAAAAACACCTAATTACACTTTCCTCGGGTATTTGAAACCAAATACGTCTGTCAGGAATCCAAA